CTTAATATTAAAATAACCTTTTGTTTTTTTTACAAAATACATCGCCCCGATAACTATTTTACAAAATAAAAAAATATATCCTTTAACTGAATTTCATATTATTTTATTTACTTGCAGTATGTAGGTAACTAAACAAAATTATATATGTTTATTTTTTTATTTTTATGTCGTTAAAATCTTAAGTTATTACAATTTTATTTTCAGAATAACCACAAGTTGCTTCTGAATTTGTTCTAAAATTTTGATACAGTGTAGTGTTTAGTGAAAAAATATTTATTTTTAAAATGTCAAAAAAGATCTGTAAAGTAGTCAGACCGTTTTTGTTACGTTTGTGGTGAACTTACTATATCTAAGAAAGAATATCCCATAAGAGAATCACTCAAAGAAGCATATTTTTATTATTGTAAAATATCGGTTTCTTACCAGGACAAAACGTAGGCTCCCCACGTATGTTGTGAAAGATGTAGAAGAACGCTAAGCTCCTGGGCCTCAGGTGGAAATAGATCTTTGTATTTTAATATGCCAATGATATGAAGGGAACTATCCAACCACGAAAATGATTGTTACTTTTGTCTTACAATCACATTTGGTTTTAACCACAAGAACAAAGATAATATTATATATGCAAATGTTACTTCGGTTATTAAGCCCGTCTACAGTTCAAACAAGCAGCAAGTTCCATAATTTCCAGGTCATTCCAGCGAAACGTTGATTACTAACATTGATTTTAAAGACGATCAAATTCAAGGTCAAAGTTCAGGTGAATTGTTTTATGTTGATGAAGAACAACACCTGAATTTAATTATATAGTCAGAGATTTACAACTGTCTAAGTTCAAAGCTGAATTACTAGGTTCACGGCTGCAACAATGGATGATGATATTTTAAGAAGGGAAACGTATTTTGTTACTGTTATGATATATTTGGACCTTTCAAAGAAATGCAGCAACCTTAAAAGCTAGAAGAATGGCGGTTATTTGTTGATTCATCGAAGACTAATTTTTAAAGCAGTTCTTCTGCATAATGGTAATGTGAAGTCACGCAGTAAATATCAAAGAAACGTATGAAACTATGACAACACTTATTGAACTTATTGAATACAAAAATAACAATTGAATTTTTGTGGTGTTTTGAAAGTAGTTGATTTGCTTTTGGGCTTACAAGGCGGCTATATAAAATATTGTTGTTTTTTATGTATGTGGGATTCCAGAACCAAACAAGATCATTGTAAAATAAATAGGCTGGCCAGTCAGAGAAGAATATGTCCTTGTTAAACTGAATATAAAGTATGTCTGGTACCTACACATTTTTTTTATCGCCGCTTCACACAAAACTAGGCTTTAGACAAAACTAGCGTAGCGTATAAAAGCTTTTGTGCTCATTTTTTCGTATTCTTTCGGATACTGAGAGGTCCGCTTGAAATTCATTACGACGTGTTATCCAAGGGTTCTTAGGCAATAAAAATGTTAAAATTACCGAGTTAGTTGCTCATTTATAACATAATTTTCAACGAATAGGTGTTAACATGTCTCTGAAAACATATTCCTTCACTTGTATCGTATCTCGTTGATTATTCAGTTTCAGGGAAGTAATCGTACCTGTATTACTTCCCTGAAAACCTTGAACACGTCAGCGACAAACACGGAGAGCATTTTCATCAGGATCTTAAATTTATAGATCTTAATTTTTTGAGCAAAATTATCAAGGATACTGGGACGGTGAGGCTATGTTAGGTGACTATTCCTGGTCAATAATAAGAGACACAGATACAAAGAAACACAAAAAAAGCTTAGACAAATCATTTTAATTTTTTTTAATATTTTTGTAAGCATTTCTTGTTAAATAAAAAAATAAATACTTTGGAAACGTAACGCGTTGGATTATTTTCGTATTGTTTTTTTTTAACTCAGTGTATCTTAATTGTTAAGGTTGCCATAACCTGCTTGCAATGAAGCAGGATGACACAGCTGAACATAGGAGGAAGCCTATGTTCAGCTGTGGAGTTTTTGGAGGTGGTAATGTATGAAAAAGAGAATTACTTATAATCTATATTCAACGAAAAAAATATTCTCTTAAAAACCCTTCTACTATATTTTAACGGCTCAATGGCGCAAGGCCTAAGAGTTTGGCTAGGGCTTTTATGGACCGGGGATCACGAATAAATATTTTTTTTATAGAATACAAATATTGTTCCCGGTTAAGATTCTTGTACATAATATACGATTTCTTGTGCAAAATATCTTCATGATAGAATAAAATCCAATTACAGATTAATGTCTTTGGCAAGCGGATTGGCAACTGCAGTTTTTTTTTTAGTCATTATTAGGAAAAGGCTGCTGCCCATCTGCTAATTTGTTTCCCTCTGTCGCCTCTTACGACATGAGATGGTATGGGTTAGTAGATATAAAATTTTATTCGAATACATAGAACTTGTTTGCGTTACGAGACCCCAATCCACTATGTGATCCACGTCTGAAACAATCATGATTTAACTGTGGACAGACTTTATAGTATATTGCTGACGGTCAATAACAGCGTAAACACAAATACAATAATAATATATATTACAACCTGAGATTACATCGTGTGTAGATTGCTGTAAGTAGAAAAGTAAATAATCGACGTAAAGTATTACGTATTAACTGCAAGACTGTAGAGTACGATCGGTTGAAGTAAACGAACAGTCACGAAGCGAAGCAACGGCGCGCTGAAGTCACGCCGATTCGATTTATCTTGAACCAACAAATGGTAAGAAACTACTTTAGTAATAATGCTTTTAAAATATCAAACAAACAAAAAATATATGTTATTAATTGTATTTCGTTTCAACTAAAACTAACCCAAATTTTCAATGATGACGCGAAATGCCCACCGAAAATAAATTCATGCTCAATCTTATATTTAGCGCGGCAGCTCTAACTGCGACGGAGCAACCAGTTGAACGGAGATTTTGTACCGATCGCAGATCGTTTAATTATCAATTCGTATAACATTGAGTGAATTCTGTATTTATAAACAATAATCGTTGCAAGCTGAAAAGCATGCACGGTCAATATGCAGCCTGAAACTACCACAAGGTAATCCCACGTTACTAGTCCAAAATAATCAATTAGGCAGTGATAATAATATACAACTTATTCACACCTATTTCCACACTGGCCCACGCAAACACAACGTATTTTCAGTAGATGAAGCTAGCTTTGAGTCGAAATGTTGTGTTCTTCGTTTGACGGTGACATATTTGCTGGTTTCGTGTGAAAACAGGAGTGAATGGACATTAACTTTCTACCTTAACGAACTGTAGACGCTGACAGTGATTGCAATTTAGCTTAAGTTTTGTTTATCCCTATACATATGGAATCTGAATTTTCAACAGATAAAGAAAGCGATTTTCCACCTGTACCGCTAAAGACGTACCAATGGGAAGACTTGCGGAGAGCGCGTGAAGCTGGAGGCTATCCTTGGACGCATTTCCTAAAACCACCTTTAGAAGGAGAAATAACAGCTGAAGACATTATAAGAGCTACTACCCCTAGAAGAAGTATGTCTCGTGAATTCTCAAAATCACGGACACAGTCACCAGCTGATGGAGAAACTCAGAGAATTTTGAATCTCGATTCATCTCCAGGTAGTAGTAGAAAACATGGTGAAGAAGGTGAGGACGAGGGAGTGCACATCCCTAATTTTTCAAAAGAAATTTCATTAGACTCAGAAGATGATCCTTTAAATCAAACCCAAAACACGAGTATAATTAAAAGACCAGACAGTCAATCAAGCACGCATTTAGCGACACCAATTGAGATACCAAAAAATGTTTCTCCAAAAGGTATTTTAAAACGCCGTGCGCAAGAACAGCAATATAACATTGGTGTTACTGAAACGCGTGAAAAAACAAAATGTTGTCATCCGTTAGTAAACAAAATAAAACACTTAGCCGATAAGACATTACATAAGCTAGAAAAAAATGATTGTGAACAATCGCCGCTATCGAAGAGAAAGAAAAATGAGGAAGTTCAAGAAATAAGACAGTTAAAGTCTTCCCCTGGGGCTGTCCGCAGACAAAAATTTAGTGCAATTAAACTAGGAGATTCTGATGAAATGAGCAAAACAATGAACATAGATACACCACCGCCTAGAAAAAAGAAAGAACATATTTATGAAGATATTGAAGAATCGAAATCTCAAAATGGTGAAAAAAAGTCACTCACGGAAAAAAGCGGTATCGTAAAAGAAAGACCAGGAGTTAACTTAAATAATGAAAATGAGTTTTTAGCAGAAAAGAAGTCAATTACATCCCAAGACCCCAGTTTAGTTATAGAGGATAGTTCTGTAGATCGTAATGAATACATTATGGAAAAATTACATAAAAAAGATGACAGAAATAAAGAAGCAGTATTATTAGATGACATGGATACTGAAGAACCTAACTTTGATGAAATATTTCAAGAACAGTTAGAAGGAAATAGACCAGCCAATGATTCTCCGAACATCACTATAACTGAGATCACAGAGGAAAACCCTGATAATAATATTGAACAGTGCAACACAATACCTATCGAATCGTCGCCGACCCCTAGTCCTCGAGAATTTCAACAGAAACGGAAAGAAGTCGAAGTTTTTGATAACGAATGGTCTAAACCTAGCAGGTAAATTTTAATTCTTTAGCATTTTTTATTTTATAATATGATTCAGTGTGTTAATGTGACATAACATTTACGTTTGAACATAATGCAAAGCGAACGCGCTAGCTTCTGCCTGTCTGATAAATATAGCCCTATTCGAATCGTCTTCCTGCACGCTCGGTAAGATCTTTAAAATTGTCATCAGCGGTCAGTGCTCGCGGCTGCTTTCACGGCGGTGATTAGTTCATTTACAGCCCGGCTTTCACAAACACGTTTACATAATGACTCATGTCTTTGGACATATGTCGGGCCTTTAGGTGTATAATAATCAGTTAAAAAATATGCCTTGGATTTAAGATTATTTCGGTGAGCTATAGTTATGAGCAAGCTTCGGCGATGGACATCCGAGGGTGGAACTCCTATAGAAAAGCCTGTAAGACCAACACGCGAAGGCAGTGTCCAACTATTTACGCCAGAAGTGCGATGTGCTTGTCAGTTTTTTCAATGTGATTCACTGCTCCCCGAAAGAGTCAATCCTGTTGGCACTAGACCGACGTCGCGAGCTAGCAATATTATTTCAAATCTGAGGTAAGTTTAATATTCATATTAAAATAGTTTGGTGGACGTTTTATGACTTAAATTACGACCTACAAAATGAATCTGAAACGACTGAAACGCTTGCCCGGCGACTGCTGCGGCTAAAACGAGCACTGACGGTTGGCCTAATTGTGACCTGAGTTACGTGTTTGTATGTGTACGATTTTAAATATAAATTTAAAAACATAGGCAAAGATTCTGATTGCGAGTGTTCTTTTTTTTTCATATTATTTTACTTTACGAATTATTCTTTATTGCTGAGCGAATTTAAATATGGTTATTCTTATTATGAGCATATATTTGCTATTTATCAGGCGAATGCGATGTTAAATTAATTCACCTATAAATATATTACAATAATTGTGCTAAATATAATAATTTTATCTGTATAAATTTCAGTGATCACGAATATGAAATCATAGAAAAGCCACCTCCAAATATAATCTATACAGCGCCTAGCATTACGGAGAAGCCGACAATGGTAAAAACCGACGACGAGTTGTCAAGTACAACCTCATTAGAACAAAAATATTTGCAACACACGTCTGATGAAGAGGAGCAAATAGATGATAAGGAAAATGACGAGAAAAGTGAGGACATTATTAACGCCGAAACATTACAAAAAAATATAGAAGAAAGGTTTTTTGTTAATACTCCATCTACGGCTTCAAGAACAGAATGCGAAATAAGCACTAGTCAAGTGGATTCATCAGCTTTAGAAAAGTTGCCATTGCAACGTAGTAATCGATCGAAAAATGCCGAAAATGTAGATAAAAAAATTCAGCAGCGTATTAAAGAAGGAACTGGTAAACTTAAAACGCAAGCAGGTAAACTAAAGTCAAAAATACAAAGTATGAAAACGAAACAGTTTTCAATGCCCGACAGACCGAAATTTAGTCTTCCAGAGCGCTCAAAGTTTAAAATGCCCGATCGACCGAAAATCAGTTTACCCGAAAGACCGAAATTTACGCTTCCTGACCGAAGAAAATTTAGCCTACCTGAAAGAACAAAATTTAGAAAAATAAATTTTTCAGAGAAGTTTACAAGTGGAGATCGGAAAAAAAATACATTTCCAAACAGGCCTAAGTTCAATGTACCTAACCTTTCCAAAATAAAAATGCCGGAGAGACCTAAAATAAATTTCCTAAGCTTAGGTAGAAAGAAAGAATATAAAATCGAAACAGATGTTACAGAATCCAGTTCCGATATGCAGAATGTGGCAACGGTAGACTTTGAAGCAAAGACGTATCCAAGATTTTTCAATAGAAAAAAGAAGCAAGACTTACCTAAAACGTCTTCGTCTCCTACACTAAACAGGGAAGATACACCTCCACCCACTTTTACATTTAGTAGGGTAAAAAAGAGTAAAGAAGAACCTCCTTCATACATTCCTGACAGTCCTGAGCAACCACGAGAATATGGAACTATTGACACTGAAAATGACTATGAAAATGAAACAGACGTCAGAAAACAATTTGAAACTACATATGATTTTGATAAATTAAGTCCCGAATATATGGATGAGGACATGGAACCTTCCAATTTGAAGGAACCACGAAACTCCACATCTATACCTGACATGTCATCGGCCAAACAAGAATACACACATATTAACGAAATTAACAACGACGAATTTTTCGTTCGACCGAGAGGAATATCACGCGAAAATATTCAAGTTAGAGAGTACTTAAGTGACGAAATACGACAAGCATTTAATATTCCACAAAACGTCCTCGCTTCTATGGGAAGTAGTTCTGAGATACATGATGACCGTATGTATGCCAATGAAACCGAAGCAGATCCAGAGTTATTGATGGACGAAAATGATCCCATGCGTTATTCGACAGAAGACGTCAATGATAGAGACGACGGTTACTATACATTCCCACCTGTTAGACCATCTAGGGCAAAACGAAAGAAGAAGGAAACTGAATCGATCAAATATATCGATGACAGTGTAAACGCGAGTATGCAGTTTAGCGAAGTCGATTTAGGACTACCGGAAGATCAAATAGAAGAACAGCCTTCGGATGTTAATATTTCCTATGAAAATGAAGCAACAACGAATTATCGACCAGAGTTTACACCTTCAACCGATCTGCGTTCAATTCATGAGTATGCTAATGATGACATAATTGAATACCCTGACAATATGCTGGTGCTATCACAAACATTACCCATGCCACCAAAAAGGAAGAAAAAGTTCGGCAAAAAGGATCTTAAGCATTCTTCGTTGAATGACTTTAAGAGTATAACGCCGACCCAGCTGTGGGAGGAACGCCAAGAAGAAGCAGACGATGTGAGTATATTTTACATATTATATGTTTTAAAGCTTATATGTAAACCTTTTGAAATAATATTATTCCTTAAAACAATGAAGCTTATATAGTTTTAAAATTATAACTTTAATCATAAATAATCACATTATAGCTTATCTACAATGATAAATCAGATTTATGCCAACGTCACTGCGTAGTACGAGTATACCAAGTAAATATAATAATGTTTCTAAAAACATTGCACACTTTACTTAAAAGTTAATAAATGGACATGAATTAATGATTAAATGTACAAATAAATATCGTTATTATCTGAGAAATACTCTCTCTCCGAGGGTTGCGCTAAAATATTTTTAATTATTTTTTATTTAAGGTTGTTTTTTACATTTAACTTTCATGTAATTAGTGATACGTACCTCAGGGTGAACAAGAATTGCGTATAAATATTGGTGCACCGTACAGTGATGGTGTAAGAATATCCATTACCCCATATCGTCCCATGCGTGTCTTAGGAGGCGACAGAGGGAGACAAACCAGAAAAAGGGCGGTTGCCAACCCTGCCAAGCGTCGCATTATGAAAAAATTCTTTGGGGAGTCATATGTTATAGGGTGTAATGAAAAATGAAATGTACAGATCACCTATGAGTAGCTGGACAGAATAACAGCCTAAGACTAGAGCCCTTTAATTTTTCTACCATATAATATATTAAAGTATCCTTTGTAACATGTATTCATTGTAATTTATTAAAGGTGAATGAGTACTGCCTATTACTGTCGATTACTGTCATCATTTAGATTATTTGTTTATGCGAGTTACATTCAGCAGAATTAACATTGTAATCCATTATTCATTATGTTGAGGTGATAATTTTCTGCAATTTTTTATCTTTAGTTCAATATTCGCGTTATACGAATAAAACAATTTGTTAAGATAATATATCAAATTGGATCGTAAGAGGCGAAATGCCATAGGCTGCCCATTCAATATCTGAAACAGGAGAAGGCAGCAGCACCATCCTGTTAATAACTCGAATTTATAAAAAAATTGCGGTTGTCAACCCACTTGCCAAGTTTAGCATTATGAAGGAATTCTCTAGGGAGGCCGATGTTCACCTGCCAAGTGTGGTAATTATAGTAAAATCCCCCCTATCAAGCAATGTATGGGGGAGGCCTATGTTCAACAATGGACTTTTATAGACTCAAATGGATTGATGGATGGAATAATAATAATAATAATTCGTTCGAAATTATATCACCGCCCTAAATCAAAACGAAAGTGAAGCACGTATTATTAGTTGCATAACTTTAGAGCAGTCTGTTTTGGCAGATGCCCAGAGAATACGTTCACTTCGGGATGAAACTCGTATATTTTCAGATGCGCGTCTCCGTCCGATTGTTGACCTAGTTAAATCTTAAATACTGGCTGGTTCAAGATTCAAATGTGTATTTTTATATTTAACACAAGGTCACAGATAGATGCGCTGAAGGTTAACCGTTATAAAGACAGATCACAGTTTATTTTAATGATGCAAAAAGTTTAAGATAATTTTTTATTCATATTAATACAATAAAATCTTAATAGAGAATGAGTACTTGTCTGGCAGATTCAATATTTATCTCTTGATAAAAAGAAACGTTATTGTAGTTACGTAATTAATATACCATCGATCACGTGGTGTAGTGGTTAGAGTACCTGACTAGTACTTTGTGGGTCTAGGTTAGCTGGAGCCACCATTTGTTTAAAAGCACAAAATGTTAGTTTTCAAACTAAGTTCTAATGTGGTTGTACCTAGATTTCTATCATTTAGTTCTTATCACGTTAGAAATCGCCAACGTACATCGTACATGCTTCGTGGGAGTTAGAAAAGATTATGTCGGGTTCTCACCGACTAAACCACACGGTGTGTCACCGTCGCCTATATCGGCTAAGCTCACATGCGGAACGGACCACGAAACCCCACCACGCGGAGATGGTGAGCCTTCTCGGGTCCCAGAGTAACGCAGTGACTGAGACTGAGAATTTTGAAACAGAAACAGAAACAGAAGCTTTTTATTCAATATAAATTATAAATAATACTTATTGAAAGTCACTATTTGGTTTGTTTGTGTCACTATTTGACTGCGGCGCTGTAGAGCCGCGGGTTCGAATTCTACACTGAACAAGTACAAACCATACAAGCATGGCCTACAAATAATTATCCTGGATCTAGAAGTTTGTCCTTGTGCATTATATGTAATCGTATGAAAAACACATATAAACAATATTATTAAAAGAGCCACGCAGTTCCTCGGATTCATTAGACGAAACACAAAAGGATTTACCCGCAGGACTAAAATTATTTTGTACAACGTGTTTGTGAGAAGTTGCCTCGAGTTTGCCAGTGTCATTTGGAATCCTTATTATCACATACATTCCCAACACATTGAAAACGTACAACGCGCTTTTACAAGGCACCTTGCATTTCATGAAATTGTTATCTCACACAGACAGGTTGAATTTAAAATGATGTCTCTCCGAAACAGGCGGGAGATACTTGATCTGTGTTTCTTGCATAAAATAATTAATTCCAAAGTCAAGTGCAGTAAGCTGCTTGAACAGGTTTCTCTATCAGTACCAATAAGATATCCTCGCTGTTGCAATACTTCTCGAAAAACATTTCACATACCTTTCACTAGAACGCATCTTGGTAAGCAAGCTCCCATGGTCCACATATGTGCGAAATATAATGAAATATCTCGAGCTATACCTGGCATCGACATATTCCACAACTCTTATGCTGTCTTTAAAAAAAAACTCACCGATCATCTATCGCTGAGGCCGCATTTACATTGAGAGAAAGGAGAAATGTATATGTGTATGTATGTATGTATATATGTATGTGTATATATATATATATATATATATATATATATATATGCATATGTATTTATGTATGTATATGTATGTATGTGAGTATGTATGTGTGTATGTATGTGTGTATGTATGTATGTGTTTTCTTTTTTTCCTTTTTGTTCCTTCTCAATGTTTAATATGTATATTGTAAGTGTGCTTATGAAATAAAAAAAACACCTCCACGATTCAAGAGAAAACATTACTTTCGGGTAAAGTTTAAAAGAAAAGATAAGAGATTTCTCATTTCTCTAATATTTTAATAGAACCTACTCTCATCAGCAACTAATCTCTGTTTCTGATCACAAATATATCAATGATGATATATATGTGGTCACAAATGAACGTCACTTAACCTAAACTAACTAACTTAACCTAAAACATACTGTACATGTATTAGGTACCCTATTCTTCTTTTTGCCTCATCGTCGCAACGTAAAAACCTTTTTCTAATTGATTTCTAGACATGCTCTCTGTAGATGGGCCGCTATGGCGACGATTTGCGCCAACCACAAATAATAAGATTAAAGCAATTTAGAAAATTAAATATGATACAGAATATGATAAATATGAAATTCTACATTAATACTGATGCACTTACGTAATGATTTCTTATATTTATGCTTACTTCACATTAAAAAAACTAATTGTCGGATTTTATCGCGTTTGATTTAACTTAAATGCATTTTTATTATTGTATAATTATTTATTACGTACTAGCTGCTACCCGACGCGTTGCTGCCGAGACGAAATAATTGTGGGAAATATCGTTTTAAATTTTATAGAGTTATATTGTTTAATTAGGAATTATAACACATTCATTGAAGTTGACTTATAAATAATATACAAGTTTCAAATAAATCTCTCTGTACGACCACCTACTGTAAGTAATTTTGTACTATACCTATAATCTGCGCGCAAGTGCAAGCAAGAAGTTGACAAGGTTTCACCGCAATCTGATGAAATTTCTGGCAGCGCATTAAATACGAGCAAACAAAAATTATTTTTTATATATTTGATAATAATTTTTAATGGCGACCATAGACTTAGAATGAGTCTATGATTACAACTTATATATGTATTTAATATGTGTCGTGTCGTAGCTCATTTGAGAATTGTGTTTTTATACGAAAAATTACAATAATATTAATAAAATTAATTTAAAGACAAAATTCCCTCATGGAAAATTAGGGTTAACGTGAGTCAATGTCAAATTTCCCTCATAAAATTTAATGTGTAGGGTTGGCTTTCTCATGTTCCATTGAATACCTACTACGAGTAATAAATGTACTAGTCTGGTTTACTTAATCCTCTCTATTGGCAACCTATGACGTCATCATCCACTTCCTTGCTGCCACATGCATCACACATGTTCATACTCGTATTGCTGCTTGTGAGGGCTCTAATTTACCGAGTAATATTTATTGAATATTTTATGTGTAATTTTATTATGAAAGAAATAAATAAGAGAAATATATAATCAGTCTCTTAGATTAATTTATTTATTTTTTCTTCTCAATATATTAACTAAAACTTAATGTATGTAGGTACAATAAAAAAAAATTGGTTTATTAATAATAACCCGCGACTTCGTCCGCGTTGCTTGGTACATCAAGAATACACACATTACTGAACACGTAGTGCTTATAAAAATCGTTGTTTCTTAAAACTTTTATAACTTTATATTAAATGAAGATATCGCAAAAATCTTTTTTTTTTTTAGATAAGGGCCAAGTATCTAAGAAATAAAACTTAGAAAACCTAATTGAAATCTATCCAGTAGTTTTTCCATGATGTGGGCACAACTGCAAACCTCTATCATTTTATTTATATAGATAGTGGTGCATACAAAGAACAGGCATAAACTATAATAAATAAAAAAAGACCTACCCTTCATCCATCCAGAGGAAACTCATTGTGTAAAAGCTATTGATTGATAAAATACCTACTTGTTTTTACGTCAAAAAATAATTAGTTTCCATTGCTTTTTTACCACATTAGGAAATTATAAATTTGGTTCTACGCTAAAGGAATATTTTTTATTACAATATGTTACAAAACTTGTCCGATTTGTGAGTGAATAAATAAAAATAACCGCGTAAAAATAAAATAAAATTTAATTACTTACATGGTGATACTTACATGCCAATTGACAATAATAATATCAAGAAGTCACGATTTTGACCTCTTTTTTGACCTCAGGATTTACTTACCAGTTTATCGTTTGTTCGTTAGAATCAATGATTAAATAATAGAATCAATGATAAAAACCGCAAACTCTGCCGCTACATTATTGCGGCCACTTCCACAACAGATCTCCGTAAAGTTGAAGTTTTTTGTTAAACATTGTCAGTTTCCAGAGTATTATATCAATACACAAAACAATCCCTCAACGTTTTTGCCTACCGATCGACTCTTACCAATGTGTGCGTACGTAGTAAAATCAGAAAAAATGATGGATTACCACGCATTTTGAATTTAAAAGATAAAAAGGACAGAATTATTGAGATTTTTTATTAATTTTTCTTCAGCATTTTCCTATATTACTTATTATGAACCTTCTCTGTAAATTTGCCCGGTTATTCCAAAATAACCCTGTATGTTTTCATAACAAATTAACTTCCGCGCTACGAAATTTGTCAAATATTTCACCTCATTCCAATGTTGCGCCGCGCATTAATAATTATAATTCGGTAATGCAGCACCTATGTGCCAATTTCATATCAGACAAGGTGTTTTTTACATATTGAATAGGGCGAAAAATTAATTTTATTAAATCAAAATTTATGTTTGACAAGTTTTATGTTAACTTCAAATGCCAAATATTCATATAATAGATATGCTGCTTATGACACAATAGTCCGAGATCCCAGGGCGAGGCGAGACGTCACTTATTTTCTGACGAATGAAATGTGTAAAATTGAGTAGTGGTAGTATGTACTATGATAGCATACCTACCTGCTAGCTTGGCCAATGGGTCTTTTTCCAGGTATCAGCTAATCAAAGTACGTAAAAACGTTACTCACCCCACGTTAATTCTCTCAGCTAATATGTACGTATATGTCAGATGATATCGTTAAAAATCAGTCATAAATTACTCCTAGACACCTTCTGTCGGTAGTATCGCTTTGCAGACGCTATAAAACTCTCAAAAAATATAGGTCAAGAGTGATTTTACCCATGCCTACTACATGATGCGTACGCTCATACTCTTTTCATGTCAATATAATACTAACATATTATATTGAAATGATAAGTGTATGCGCGTATCTCACTCACGCCCATGCGAGCGGATAATGAATTCGCGCTCATACCCACAGAGGCATTAAAATTGGGTCTAGGGGATGACTGATAAAACTAAAAACTGTTTAAAATAGTTGTCTGGCTAACATATATAATAATGCTGCTTCAGAACATAAGTGAAATTGAGTAATTTTTTGAGAGCTTTAAAGCGTCTGCAAAGCGGTACTGCCGACGGAAAGTGTCTGGGAGTATTGATAACTGATTTTTAACGATATTATCTAACATATACGTAAAAATCAGCTAAGAGAATCAACAGAGGTGAGTAATGTTTTTACGTACCTTGATTACCTTATACCGGGAAAATGGCCCAATGCCCAAGCTAGCAGGTGGACATGCGATCATAATATGTACTACTTAATCTTTTTCTCTTCTTACACATTTCGTTCGTCAGAAAATAAGTGACGTCGGGGGCCCTGGGATCTCGCGCTACAATACATTTTTATAAATAAAAGACTAGACATTTTATCTTAAATATAGGTACGTCATTATGTTATATTTAATAAAACTTAAGAATATGACGATCGGCGCAATTAAATGCGATACAATTCGTAAAAGTAGTTTTATTCTTTTTTTATAGAATATGGGTGACAAACGAGCACACATTCAACCTGATGGTAAGTGGTTGCTGTGGCCCATAGACATCCATGAGGACTCAGATAGAATGCCTCTTTTCCAGTAAAATGAGTCTCCGGTTCTCTACACTTACCATACGAAACACAGCAGCTAACTTAAATTATTGTAATGTTTGGCACTTATGAAATCTGACAAAAACTGTTTTAAATTACATTTATATGCATTTCTTTAATTCTCACAATTACTCTTTTTGAAACATGATTTCTTAATTTCAGATAATCGTTTATCGCACACAGCATGAGTACATCGTACCACAAGCTGAGACAACAACCGAACATAGTCCAGTTCCTCCCAGAAGAAATCGTTCAAGAAGTTCTCGCGGTACTTCCCTATGCGACGATGACCGTACGTCACATGGCGCCGAGTCCCTTACCATGGATACTCATTTACCACCAGCTGATATAATTGAAAACGAAAAACAGACAAGACAAGAAAGCCCCGGATACGCAACTGTAGACAAAAGCTCATATGCACCACACAAAGGTGTCAGACGGTCTAAAAGTAAGACACCACCAGTACGGCGTCGTAAAAGCAATAGTTCTGAAAGAAAGTATTACACAGTGGGGCCTACTAAAGAGCCAGTTCCTAATCGTCCACCGCGGAAGAAATCCTCAACTAGCTTAATGACATTAGATAGTTTTACTAAGCGGTCCGTCAGTGGAGATATTACTCAATATGTAGAAATTGAAGAACCACAATTCGAAGAAGTTCACAAGGATTTAATATCTGGAGAAGTTGTTAAAAAAATGAAAGATAGACCACTTCCCCCGCCACCCAGACCACCCAGAGGCCCGAAGAGAAAAAAAAAGTTTGGTGAAGGATCATTAGAATTAATATCGACTGAATTTACTTCACCTTCGGAAAACTTCCCTCGACTTTCACCTGATCCAATGAGATCAGAGGATGTAATAGAAATAGAAGTTTCAACTCAAACAGATCCGCTACCGGACGATGTCGACTTTGAGTTTGGTTTGGATGAAAATCTTGATATTTCAATGTCCAGTTCCCTAAGAGACATTATTGATGAAGAATCTATGGTAGGTAGAGGAAGAAGAAAGGTTTCAGAGAGTTCGCGAATTTCTCGCACTGCTTCGCGATCTGAAAAATCTTTAAAGCTTTCAGATCCTAAAATATCAGAAATTTCGAAGACAAACATTGACCGTTCATCGCCTACGGTAATTTTGGTCGAAAAACGAGTATCTAGTCCAACAAAAATCAATGAACATGAAGAAATGTTAACTGAAGCCTCCTTGACTGTAAAACATATTGATATAGATGAATCAAAAGTACCCGAAGTGCCTCCACTTCCAAAATCAAAAGGGACACCCGCTTGTACGAGCCCTTCAAAAATAATTTCACCAAATGAAGAACGAAATCTTCAACGAATGTCTGAAGGTTCTAAGGAAGTTCAGTTAGATAATTTAGTCACACAACGGCTTCAAGTGAAAGATTTAGATGTTGGCAGACTGAATGTGTCTGAACTACAAGCAAGTAAGATTTTAGTATCTGATATAGAAGGAATGACTTTGCAAGTGAGTGAATTGGATTCGAAATCAGGGCATATTTCCGTAAGTGGTATTGAATTTTCTCAATCAGTCATTGACGAAATTGTTAAAAAGTTTGCTGAGATATCTACAACCAACGTCCCAGTGATATCTCTTAGCCAAGATGTTGGTATTGTACCAAGACCAGTTAGTAGAGAGGAACATACTCAAACAGAAGTGCAAACTGAAGTCGCGAAAAGTGAGGTAAAAGCTGAGCCCATTATGGTAACAACAGACTGTCAAACTGAAGCATCTCCACCGCCAATAAAACCCACGACTGGTGATGATTCTGCTATACCACCTCAAAGACCACCTCCGCCTGACTTAAGCCCGCTCTTGTATTCATATTTACAGGATATAGCATTGCCATCGACAAGTCTGTATCCTCGTTCTTTTCGTGAAAGGCCGATTATAGATTACACTGAATCTCACCATCAATCTCCTCCACCTCCAACACGAAGAGTAAAAAGGAAGCCTGCTGCCCCTCAGGCTAGTGAATCTAGTTCAGATGAAAATAGACCACGACCTTCGCCAAGGCGAATGCCACCTCCAGTCAAGCCTCATGAACCCTCAGTTACAGAAACGGGAGCACAGTTTTTACGGGCTTGTCATAATTCAATTACTAGAACTATAAGAAATATTTTCAATGCATTTATGTCTTACATTCACGGTCACGAGAATAAAAAAGACGTGCAAATGGCGTTGGTTATATTTCTGGTCTTGATTGCTGGTTTGATTATGTTTGGGCTCAGCGACAGCCGGACGGTTCATCATCATCATTGGGAATTCTTCAATCCACCTGATGGTAATCAATGACGAGACAACTATAGTTTAAGTTATGTTAATTTTAAGTGTTAGGTTACAGTCCACAAATACCTATATCAGAAATATTTGTATTCACCAACTACGTATATTCTCTGGGTATATTCACTATTGCAGTCTTTGAACAATAAAAAAACAAGAAAATTTAAAAAAGCATCAATTGACTATTTAATGGTTATTTATTTTTATTGTTAAGTTTACATTTGTAATAAGATTAGAAAAATCTCAAAGAGTAAAATATTGTTAATATAATACCAGAATTAGATTCTTTAGGGATATGTTAAAAAATAGGAATCGAAAATTTAATTTAAGACGAAAATTAATGGCCGTTTAATAATAATTTGTATCTCCTGTCACTATTAAAATATTTCTCTCTAATTATAAACAAGTGTGTAAAGGATAATTGTCTAATATTATTTTATTATATACAACGCTACGACCTGTTTTGTTGTTCATTCAATAATTACGACTTAATAACTGCAATACATACTATTTATTGTGTTATGTAGTGTGGGCTGGCAATATGCATTTTGTAAATTTCCTCTCACATAATTGTTGTTTAAATTATTATACGAAATAAATTTTGTTATTAAAAACGTTTAATTGACTTTTAATATTTCTATCAGATGAAAATTATTTTAGTTTGTGCGAAAACAACAAATAACATGTCACGGATATTTTTAAGAGACCTTAATAAGTCACTTACTTGTCTGTCTGTCTGTTCGATATTTTGCAATCAATGTGGAAATTATTAAAATATTTTATAGTTCTTTGAAGTTTAAATTAATTAAAAGAAGTGTAAATTTATTAAAATTTTAATATTATGAGCTTTTTGAGTCGACTAAATGCAGATGCGTTGTCAGCTGTGAGCACTAAGACAGAATGCCTCTTTTCCAGTAAAAAGGGAAACTAATAATCAAGCAGAATTTCTACCTTGAAATGACATGCAGCAGTTTGTCCAATGATGGATTGGAAACTATACCTTAATCCTTTTTAAGACATAGATGATAATAATAAAGTTGAAAGAATTACGTCATGAATTGGAGTGCGCTCTGTCATGAAGTTCCTCTGTAGTACCCTATAGAAGTTAGGTAATCTTTTGTTCCCTGTAGAAATAGTTTCTGCTGCGTTAATTTTAGTTTATAAAAAATCATTCAACGTATAGTAGCTTTCGAGATGAGGCCATACAGACGTAGATATGTCTGCCATTAGCTGGAATCACAAAGTAACGAATGTGGAAGTTCTGCTACGAGTCGACCAACTAACGAGTCGAGCGCGAACTTTGCAGACCGTCAAAATGAGAAAAGTCACATATTTGGCGCACGTGCGCAGGCACGAGACTTACGAACTCATAAAAAGCATTATTATCGGAATAGCTGCCGGAAGAAGCTTCGATAGCAGAAAAAAGTCATGGCTAAGTAACATTCGGGAGTGGACAGGAATTGCGAGTGCCACCGAACTGTTTAGCCTCGCGAAGTTCACTAAGCTAACTGCCAACCTTTGTTAGTCGGAGAGGCACCAGAAGAAGAAGAAGAAAAATTAATCTAAGGTACCTTTCGTCGAGATAGGCGAAATAGTACTTCTTCTTTTTCTTCTCATCAGCCTGTATAAATCCACTGCTTGACAGGTTCCATTTCACTAGACGTCTCGCATTTTTGTGCCTTTCATGCTGCTGACCGTAGCCAGTCTGGATATTTTATACCTGGCAGAAAAAAAGATTTATTCTGTGAGAGCGTGGTCCTACTCCAGTCGAGCCGACTCATTCGTGCTAAAACCATAATATAGCTGCAGCATGGGTCTACCACGTTGCATCCCTGTGCATTTTCTATCATATTTATCACAGGGAGAGATCTGAGGAATTGTTGGGATTAATTCCAGTCGCCAAATTTCATTAACACATATTGCGATAAAACCTACGTTCCCATCCACATCATCTGGATGCTTGGCGGATGGCGGTCTACTACTGTGCGATTTTCTTGGAGTTTTCTTTGTCGCACGACTACTTTGTGGAATCGTTTACCACTGGCGAATTCTCTGGACCGATACAACTTACATTTTCCATCAGGTGGGCTGCATGCTCGTTTGAACCCTCTACTATACAAAAAATAACAAGCACGTATCATCAACATTACAAGTAAATAAGGTATGATTCTTTTTTTATTATAATACTTAATAAAATGTCCTTATTATGCTTGTTAGTTCTTTGTAAACGTAGTGATTATATTATACTCTTTGGTTATATGTATAAAGTTTTGAAATATTATGAAGAGATTTTTTAAATAAGTGTTATTTTATGTCATAACTTTAAAATGCTGCAGGAATTTGGCAGTTTTATTGCAAGAGAGCACTTTTTTCAATTTTTTACGTTGTTCATGAAAGGTTCTGCAAAAAAATCTGGTGCTAGACCTATAAAACATCTTTGGGTGCTAGGTACTTGGCACTAGCACTGACTAGAAACTATTTTTAATAGGTAACTACCAAAAGATGGTGTTAAATTAAACCATTGCTAAAATTAACAAAAGATTGATTTTTACTATTTTGACATATAGTATAAGTTAACAATAATAGTTCAGAAAAATAAATGTGCAATAAAAAATATATCATCCTTCTTTTTCTTTCTGTATTAGTAAATGTTACACGCATACATTATATACGGCAGTATATTCAAAGTCTATGATTACAAGTGAATGAGCGCCCCCTAAGAGATATCATTCATATTACATTGTTACCACTAGTAAACTCAAACAAGAAATGATCTTAATACCACATATTTTTAGTAGATGGCGCTTTTCTGATTAAATTATGATTATACTACCGTGATTTTTAAAAAGTGTAAAACAAGCCACAGAAGACTTATTCTTAGCAGAGAAAAACAAGCACACACTCCACATAATTGTAAGAGGATGCTGTGATCCATAAACATCTACATTTATCCTCGATTAAGAATCAAAGTGGATAATATGCGATATCATACTTTAGGAATACGATGGAACGCTTCGTATCTAGGAAAAAATGTCACCGGTTCTCTCGCATTAAGCTGCTGTGCTATTTTAGCTTACGCTAGTATTGTGATAGCAAAAAGAGCACATGCTCTTCATTAAAGTAGAAAAATATACATGTGCATCATCATTACAGCCCTTCACAAGTCCACTGCTGAACATAGGCAGGCTCACCTGCACCCATACTTCTTGCACGTCTTACCAGGTCGTCACTCCATCTAGAGGGGGACGCCCTACAATTCGTCCGCCGGTACGAGGCCGCCACTCGAGAACTTTTTTCCCCATCGGTTGTCGGTTCTTTGAGCAATATGGCTGGCCTATTGCCACTTCAGCTTACTAATCCGTTGGACTATTTTTTTTATAGAATAAGGGTGACAAACGAGCACACAGTCCACCTGATGGTAAGTGGTTGCTGCCCATAGACATCTACATCTATGTATCAATCAAAAATGAATCAAAATGCAGATGCGTTGTCACCCGTGAGGACTAAGATGGAATGCCTCTTTTCCAGTAAGGTACGTTGGGGTAAGATCGGTGATGGGGCAAGACCGTAGGATTCCAATTCCCGGCGAATTATGCTATATTTTGAAAAGCTAACAATATGCTACACGACGCCATTTCATCCTGCCCCGACCCTCAGTTCGCGCCAGTCACTCCGGCAAGTGGGACCTGTGCTGCGTGGCATTTTATAAAACAATGTAATTTTTGTATTATTTTTGTCCATCCGATCTTTCCCTATCACTTTTATTTACGATTTTTAGCGAGAATATGGCTTCTTTTGTTACTATTTTGTGTGGATACCAATTTTTATGAAGTTATAGCTAAATAAAGCTGGTCCATGCAGGGCTAAGATTGCTGTAGGCCGAGATCCGATGTTTCCCCTCGTGAGTGAAGATCGGATGAATATTATCCGATCTTTGCCTGTTAGAAATATGGCAGTGGTTGTTAAACTTTCATTGGTCGTGTATATTTTTTCGTTGATTACTCAAGTGACTATGGGACTCAGTCTCGTTAGCAAGTCTGTATATTTAAAAGTAATAAAACAATACGATGGTTTTATTACTTTTAAGTACACATTAAAATACATTTTTTTTATAGGATAAGGGTGACAAAGGAGCACACAGTCCACCTGATGTTAAGTGATTACTGCGGCCCATAGACATCTATATCTATCCTCTATTACAAATCAAAATGTAATTTATAATAATTATTTAAAAAATAATTTATAATAATAAATGCCGCTTTATTAAAATATTTATATCTTCCTTAACTCCTGCATTATCCCAGGGCATTTCGCCAGTCCTTACTGTTATTTTTTTCCCATATAAAATCAAATTCATCCGATCTTTCTCTTATATTGAGTAATTCCATCTTGTCATAACAAAGTTTGAGAAACATAAAATTACAATTTCTTTATATCAGGGATAAGATCGGATGGCAAGAAACAAAAAAAGAGAAAATCGTTTGGAACATTTATGTTTCTAGTAATTTATAGATCATATTGAAATATGTTTTTTAGCGTTAAAGATAGGACAAATCTCTTTTATAAACTTTTTTCTCTAAGCAGTAGAAGTGGTTTTAAATTTAAGTCCGGTCTTACCCCTTAATGGCCAATTTTTCATTATGCATATAAAAAAGTATGTCTAGTTTTCGCACACCTTTAAAGCAGAAACCGTTGAGTTTACACAAACAAAAGATTCTCAGAGCTAAACTACGTTTAACGATTAACGGTTTGCTCCATGTTCCATAAATCTCACGTATACGAATGTCGAGAAATTAAAGTTTTTGGCAGACTCTTCCAACTATTCGAAAATCCGTCCGGTATTACCCCAACGTAATGCGTTGGCACACGGTCTCCAGCCAGTTCTCTACAAAACACAGCAGCATTAAGCTGATATTTTACGCTGGTATTCTGTGAGAGCGTGGTCCTTCCCTGGTCGAGCCGACCCATTCGTGCTACAACTATACTATTAATATAGCTGCAGCATGGCTCTA